AAACATAGACAGCGAAAGGTGTAAATTGATATTCTTTATTAAATTGATTATACAATCAATATTTTTTGTTAAAATAAATTACACATTTATTTTAATTCAAAAATAATATTTATATAATTTTTTAAAAGTTTTATACTCATTTTGATAGGTTACACGCGCAACGCGCGTACCGTAAAACTAGTTATTATAAAAGCATGAATTTATGCTAAATGTTGGATGACTAAAATATCCTCAAAATTTTGATAGACTTTTATGCCTTTATAATTTTGAGTTAAAGGTGGATGTAATTGTAATATTCCAAATATATTACCTAAGAAAGGAATTCTTTACAGATTAAAACTCCAATTCCTACTCTACAAATACCTAGAACTTTTAATGCAACTACAAATTGGTAAAGTTGGAAATAATTATGAATTTGGATAAACTTACTATACTTGTCATTACGATAAACAACTTGTATAAAAACTAATATTAAATATTATTGCATTCTTTAACCGATTTATAAATTTGTTCGTATCTTGTGTAATTTTAAACTATTTATTTCCATTTTGTTATTTGGTTATCACAACGTTATTATGATTTGGTTTGCATTACATATATAAAACTTCTATTTTAAGCAACTCATTATCTAACTTTAGCAATTACTTATGGTACGTGTTTGTAATATTTGACACAAGATAAATGTGCAACGCACGAGTATAGAGACTAGTTCTAATAAAAATGGCATAACGGTTTTCCGCTCTCTTTTCCGGCAATTATCGGGCTTGAAATTCAAGGTATTTCGTTAATTGTTTAGTACTTATAATTAGGAGTAGCAAACAGGTGGGTCAGGTTGGATATAGTTCGGGTTGAAAACGGGTAATAAAAAACCGGATAAATTATCCGACCCGACCCATATTTAATACGGATAAAAAACGGGTTAACCGGCCTTCTTGCATATGATCACTTTTGGGAGAACTCATAGTCTCCCTAACTTGAAGAACCCCAATTTGAGGCTTTACAAATGTAAAAGTAAGACCCATTGGTTACTCATTGATTATCTATTTTCTAAATGGATAATATGGTTCTTATCCATATTTGATCCGTTTTTAAAAAGTTCATTATCCAACCCATTTTTTAGTGGATAATATAGGTGGTTAATTATTTTCTTTTAACAATTTTGCCACCCCTACTTATAATTAATATACAATTTTGAAGCTTTGAGAAACCACGTGGAAATTAATTTCCATAAAAGATCGATTAGAGAACATTTCCCAAAGGGTTTAATGCAACTCAATGTCATTTTTACCGGACAAATTTGATGAGTCTGCACTTTCCAAACATAAGAAAACCCACCATCAAATCCAATATTAAGTTTCACAGAAATAAGTTTCGATTGCCACGTTAACCATATCATACACCAATTTATGTTCAAATAAGCATAATAATAAGACCATATTATTGGGTAGGATTAGTCCGAAATTGCTCCCTTCGTTCCAAATTATCATAAGAAAATTGTCCTAAAATAATTGTCACTTTAGGAATTCAAGACCTAGATAATTATTTTCAACTATATCCTTAATATTAAAGAAGTAATAGTTCTTTTTAATACCGCTCTATTCTCAAAATGCATTTAATAGGAATATCTTAATAAACTATACCTTGTATCTCTTCTTTTAATAGAGATGAAAAGAGCAAAAATGACGGTTAAGATAAAATGTAGGGAGTAGTTTCTAAGTAGAATTAACTAATACTCCCTTTGGTTTACAATAAGTGAGCAATTTGCTTTAGGTACCCATTAAAAGAATATTAAATTCTAGACAAAAGTAGTTAATATGACTAAATTACCTTTAATTAAATGTTGCAGCATAGTTAATGTGAGGAGTAAAAGACTTTTTAGGGATACATACATGAGGGTAGTATAAATTGAATTCAATTTGTTTGGAAAAACAAATTGAATTGTTTCTTGGTTTTATAAATGGATATTTATTTTGGATCAAAATAAAAAAAAACAAATTGGTCACTTATTGTGTACCGGAGAGAGTAATCACTTTTCTTCCTGACAACAAGTAATTTAGAATCATCTTTGTTGATATCACCGAGTGTGGTATGTATTGGATCCCTCGGCTCTTAATTAGAGGTCTCAAATTTGATCTCAAAGAATGAAAAAGCTCATGGTAGAAAGTTCACTTCTCCTTAAATGAACTCTATGTGGTGTAAATTCGAATTTGTTAGGCGAATTCAGGATACCGAAGGGTTAAAAAAAAAAAAAGAATTATCTTTGTTGAGCACTAAATTTAAATTCATTCAAAATCCCTCTTCCTGATTCAGTTCTGGTTTGTGCCTTTTCTTTTCTTTAGATATTGTTGGAATTAGCAACATCATCATACCATATTATAAGTAGGGGTATACAAATGAAACCGACAAACCGCACCAACCCAATAATCCGAGTCAAACCGAGAAAAAAAACCCGACTATGGTTTGGTTTGATTTGGTTTGGTGTTGGAAAAAAAAACCCGACCATATTTGGTTTGGTTTGGTTTTAACTAAAAAAAGTCAAACCGAAACCAAACCAACCCAACATTATATGTATAGACATTTTAAATATATTTAATACATAAAAATATTTATTGTAGTGTAGTTTATAAATATTTCTTAAGTTTTTTTATAATTTTATCTTTTAATATATTATATTAATCTTGGACTTATAATTTTTGGATGCTCCAATAAATTTTATAGTCCATAAATGTTAGTAACTCAAATAAATCTTAAACCAAAATCAAACAATACTAATGCTAGTGAAAGACATTCAAGTCAAATGTACTACGAATGAAAATAGTGTTGGATATCTATTTTTTTAGCTTATCCATGATTAACTTATTTTTCTTTAGTGTTTAGTCATGTAAATAATAGTACTTATTAGTCGTACTTATTTTAGCAACTTATTAGTAATTTTAAATTATGGTTATTTTTATTATGGCTTATTAATAGTATTTATTTTATGNATAGTTATATCTTACTAGGATTAAAGAAACATTTGGAGCACAAATTCTATATTTTGTGCTATGAAGACTTTATGAAAAAAAACCCTAAAAAACCCGAGAAAAACCGAGGTTGAAAAACCCAACTTTTCTTGGTTTGGTTTGGTCTTTAGATTTAATAATCCGATATAATTGGTTTGGTTTGGTAATTAGAAAATCCGAATCAACCCGACCTATGTACACCCCTAATTGTAAGTGTGAAGACTCTTAGGTAAAGTTGATTTACTAAAATGTCCGTGAAAAATTGAATACCTATTTTATCCTCAATAAAATATTATATCTACAATATATTTATACAAAAAAGTAAATACACATTATAGCAAATTTATGAAGCTACCGATATCTGTTCATATACAATGTATATGAACGTGGAAATTGCAAACAATTTATAGAATAACTTGAGTTATTGATGATAAGTCAGATAAAAAGTCATTTTAACCTCTATATAATGAGGAAATAAAAGGCTAACAGCTGCAATACCCTTAGAAAAATATATATATATTATCTCATTCATAAAATAGTACATTAACCAAAATTCTCTTTGCTGTTATAGAAAATTAAATTTGGAGAATTTGAGGAGTTGCCTTGAATAATTAATGTACAAAATTCATTTAACTAATTCAATGAATGTACCATATTCATCTACTAAATGTAGATATATAATAAAAATCCGGCGACAAATCTCTTGTTCCTGCTCTGGACGTTTGGAGAGGTTATAACACAATGGTCTTGAGAATTTCTTTTCCACATTACTTTTCGATCTCTCATTCAGTTCCCTTTAAGTTATAACATAAAGTTTAAGTTACAATTGTCCAACTTAATTATCTTTCATCTCCATATTTAAGATCGTTCTTCCCAAAATTCTTTTACATAATTAAATATTCAGTTACACAAGAGAAGGTTCCTATAAAGAGAAGTTGAGATGACAATGGCAACATAATTAGTATCCATTGCCTCACTATGAACTTCTTTTCTCAAACTCTCAGAAAGATAATTGCATATACAGCAATGATACAGACCGAGCCTTGGATTAAAAAGCCGCATGAGCATATACACAAGACCTGGAATCTGGATCACTCACTCTTAGAATGTTAAGAATCTGATAATGACGTTTTGGTAACTATTAGATTCATTTTCTTACGTAAAATAATTACTCTTCAATTTTATGTTATGGTGGTTTGGTACCATACGTACTAGCTTTTTGGAACTACACCACCAATTTTGCTGCTAGCTATTTAGAACTACTCCTACAATTTAGCTGCTAAAACAAGTGTTAATTCTCTTTATACTTTAATGTCTTTATATGTACTATGCTTCTCGCGAATACTTAAATTTTTGAATTTTGAGTGTTCAAAGCTATTTTGGCAGTAACATTCTTACTTTTGTAAACTTAGTACAACCCATATTTTATCATCTAATCCAATATACATGAATGAATACAAACATGATTCTTGCATTTTTTTTAAAATTATAATTATGTGAAGACATACATTATATATTCATTTATTTATGTTAATATCAGGCTTTAAATCAACTTCATTTGGCACTATTGGAGAACATTATAAATCCTACTTCAGTCATGTGGATAGAATTTCCATGGAATATGAAATAGTATCGTGGTAATTTTCGCATATTTTCCCACATCGTGTCAAAATATCTACATATTCATTTCCATTTTGGGAAAAGAAAATTCTTTTAGAAATATTTGTAAAATTGCTTTCATTTTTAAACCGTCTTTACATAACATATATGTTGCATAGTTCAAAGTAAAGAGAAATTTTAATTGATCGTGTCATCGTTGAAAATTATAACAGAGATAGAGTTGGTCAGACAGTACGACCTTTAACCTCATCATAAGAGGTATTAAAGATGGAACAATACTGATTAGCTTTTTAGATAGTAATATGTCAATCAAATATTTTTAAAATATGTATGCATTAATTTTAACAATTTTTAAGTATGCATTATGTAAAATTAATATGGGATACACGTGCAACGCATGTGTACAGGAACTAGTATGTATATTATTCTGTACATTTAAGTTACAGTGCTATTAACTGCATTTTCTTACTTCACTTAATTAATTGCTATACACAAAAATCAACAAAAAAAAAATAAATAAATAAAATCATTCTTCTTTCTGCTTCCATTCCAAACCTATAAACCTACAAGGAGAATACCTAATTTTGTATTCAGAAATAGTCTCAAGCTTAGGTGACCAAACTTGTTCTTTTGGACCAACCAATTGTTCATAATGTTTCTTCAACTCAGGTGTGTTACATAAAAACTTACCATCACTAGGACTTGTCGTAGTTGCAATATTATCTTGTGATCCATCTTCTTTTCCTCTTGTAAGAAGTTTAATTATGAACTCCGGTGACACTTTTATCAAAACCCTACCATTTTCCGCCTTAATATATTGAAATATAGGGTTCTTGAAATTAACAGGTGCTCGTCTAGGGTTCGAGCCTAGGGAAGCAAGAGAAGAGGCCGAGAGAACGTTGCTTGATGAGAAGTAATCTAGAGGGAAAACGAAGTATGTATCGCCATTTTTGAGCTTATCATCGATATTTAAGGATGGAATAGGGTTTCCAATATAGAATGAGTCTGCATGGCAAACCATGCAGTCCGGGAACTCGAACATTATCTCTCCGGCTAGCCTTTTTCCGGTGACCATCCTCGTCGTTCCATCGTGAAAAAATAGGTTAACCATTAATGATCTTGAAGGACAAATGGAGTAGCAGCAAGGTGAAATTGTATTTCCCATGTTTTTCCTTCTTTTTTTGGAGGTTGAAAGGAGGAAATTTAATGAGACAAATTAAATAGAGTAGTTGGAATAATGGTTTTCAGTTTTGATTAAGGGATTTGTTTATATATGGAGAAGGAGTTGACTTTGAGAATAGGTCAGTAATGGTGGCTTTGAATATGTCGAGTTGTATAATTATCATCCATAAATTAAAACGATGGAGTTACCCTTTAAGGTGGGGGATGAGGCAAGGGGGTGCATGTGAAAAGATAAATTGTTCAAAAGTCATCGTCTTCTATCAGAATATTAATTTGCAGTACTTAAATTTAACTTTCCTCCACTAGATATATCCTATTATATTTCACTCAGGTGCTTTTTATATTCATAGTTAATACTTAATAGTTTATACTATTTCTATGTAATGTCGAATATAGACAAATTATTCAAAAAATGAACGGGAATCGCCTACTTAAAAAGTAGGAGTTCACACTGCTAGGGCGTGTAGTACTATAGCAACCAATGAAAGGAGTTTTGAAGCTTCTTCGTCGAAAAATTATACTGCATAATTAGGGAAAATATTTTTTTCCATAAACTTTGGAGTCCGCTTGAAATAAAGGAAGTTTTCATATTGCAATAGCAAAGGTAATTCAAAGATTGCTTCTTTTTTTTAAAAAAAAAATCATCCACCCAGGTTTTCATCTCATGTGGTATTGGGGGGTTTGGCATAGACCCCTACCCTGTTTATTCATTAGCAAAATAGTACAAGGAGGTTCTAATGTGATTATGTGAGGACATAGACCAAAACCTCACATACTCACATTGTTGCTAGAAAAACTAAAATGGCTAGGCCTATTAAGTTATAAAAGAGCTACTATCTCAGGATATGATTCGGTACAGCAGTAGCTCTTTCCTTATCGTTTAAGGAGGTTCAAATATCCATCCTGAATGTTTCCTTGGTCTAATCTGAAATTTGGGATCTGCATTCTATCAATAGTCATTGTTTTTCTGGCCTCAGTAGGCAGATCAGTTTCATTCAGGAAGATGGCCTGTTGCGTGAGAGTAGCAACATGTTTGGACAAAGCGTCGGCCACTTCATTTCTCCCCCTGTAGCAATGTTTTATCTTGATGCCATGTTGTTGCACCTTTTGTTGAATAAGTGTGACTCCTTCTTTTAGTCTCCATGGGGTATTGTATTTCCCTTGGATCATGTTGACAACCAGGAGAGAGTCAGGTCTTGACAGTTATGGTCACAACACCAGAGTATAGCAAACAAGGCCGTTTGCACTTCAGAGTAATTGTTAGTCAAGAAATGTACTGGTGCGGAGAAGGCCATCACCATTTGACCATTTCTTTTCCTAACAACACCCTCAATGCCTGCTTTGCCTGCGTTTGCGCTGAAACTTCCGTCTGTGTTTATTTTCCATTGATTACTGTCACGGGGTTCCCAAAGAACCATAATACTCTTCAGTCTAGTCTTGTAATCCTCTGCCACCTTGCATATATTGTTCCACGTCCAATTACAATCCACCTGGCTGTATTTTTGGCCCATGAAAACTTTTACCTGGAAAAGAACCTGTTGACATATTCTAAAAATAGAAATAGTCTTCTTACCATATTTCTTACCACACTTGGCCTTCCATATTTCCCAGCATATTATGGTTGGAGTGATTTGCAGTAGAAACTTATGCACATTATTTTTTGGGTGTCTGCTCTACCATTGAGTTATGATGCATAGAGTATTCCTTCCCATGGTCCGAAATCCTAGTGGAGTGGACATAGTGTTCCATACCTTCTTTGATGTGTTGCTAGTTGCGAAGACATGGTTCATGGTTTCTTCTTCTGGCACCCTGCAACAACAACAGCTAGATATACTGTTAGTACCGAATTTTAGCACAATATTATCAAGTCGTAGCCTGCCTTTCAGTATTCTCCATGTAGCAAAGGAGATTTTGAAAGGTAGATGTTTATTCCAAATTTTGGCCAACTGAGGTGAGGAGTCTTTTCTTTTCCTTAGAAGCTGGTAGGCAGAAGAACAAGAGAAGGATCCTTGGGGGTTGGGGGTCCATACGGCTTGATCCTGTATATAGTTGTAACCAATCTTGATTTGCTCAATTTCATCAACGACTCTCTGAGGCACAGTTTCTTGAAGAAGCTCTGTGTTCCATCCTTGGTTATTGAAGAATTCCTTGACATTGATGTTTCCTGATTTTGAAGGGGGGTTGGCTATTGTTTTGATGTTCCCTTATGTTAACCACCTATCCCACCAAAATAGACAATTACCCTTGTTGATCTTCCAATGAATGTAAGCTTCCACTTTATCTCTGGTCTCCATTAGGCTCCTCCGTGAGTTAGAGTCTTTAGGATCCAGCCTTTTAGAGATTGGATTGGATCTTTGATACTATTTGGCTCGGAGAAATTTTATCCATAATTTGTTTTCCACCCTGCATCTCCACTATCTTTTTGCTGCAAATGAGTTGCATATATCTTGGATCTGTTTTATCCCAAGAGCACCAGTGATAACTCCTTTTACCTTCTTTCTCTCCCCAGAAGAAATTTGCAAGGTACATTTCAATCTGCTTGATAATGGACTTAGGAGGTACCATAGCTGCCAGCAGATATAAAGTTTGGGACTGAAGGATGTGCTTGATAATAATAGCTTTACCACCGAATGATAGGAGTCTCCCTTGCCAGCCTCCTGCTTTGATTAGCACTTTTGTGGCCAGGTCGGCGAAGTAGCAAATCTTCTTTCTGCCTATATAGATAGGGCACCCAAGATATGTAAATGGGGATTGCATGTGCTTAAAGCCTGTCCATTTTCGTAGTCTTCTAATGGCTCTTTTATTGTTTCTGCCAACTCCATGTTTGTATTTTAGGAAGAAACTTTTTTCTTTGTTGATCTCTTGGCCAGATGCATCCTGGTAGTCCTCAAGGATTTCCATTAGCAGCTTCACTGATTTCCTGTCACCAGAAGAGAAAAGAATTAGATCGTCATCATAACTTAGGTGGTTTATCTTGGGTCTTTTGGGATTCATAGAGAAACCAATGAATTGGCTGTTCTCATTGAGTCTGTTAAGGGCCCTAGATAAAGCCTCAACCGCTAGAATAAATAGAGAAGGGGAAAAAGGGTCTCCCTGTTTCAGTCTTCTTGTTGACTTGAAGAACCCATATCTTGTTCCATTAATTAAAATGGAATACCAGTTCTCCGAAATCAGTCTATGGATGGAATCTATGATAATTTCAGAGAAGTTCATTTTTCTTAGCACAGCCGTGAGGAAACTCCTAGAGCGTTTGTCGAAAGCTTTTGACATGTCAAGCTTAATGACAATGTTTCCACCTTGATTGGTCTTCTTGATACCATGAACAAGTTCCTGGGTAAGAAGGATGTTTTCAGTGATTAATCTACCTTTAACAAAACCGGATTGATTATCGAAGATTAATTTAGGAAGGATGTTAGCTATCCTGACACTGATAATTTTAAAGATAATCTTGTTTGACACATTACAAAGACTAATGGGTCTTAGCTGAGATAAAGATGAAGGAGATGACACTTTAGGAATGAGGACCAGGTTAGTGTGAGTGTAATATATGGAAAGATTGTAACCATTAAAGAAATTTGAACAAACTTGCAAACCTCCCTTTTGATAGTGTCCCATGATGCTTGGTAGAAGTGACCATTGAAGCCATCCGGGCCTGCAGAGCTGTTGGGGTCTATAGAGAATACTACATGTTTAATCTCTTCTTCTTCAGGAATCTGGTTCATGAGGTGGTTGTCTTCCTCTGTGACCATCGGTTTAATGCATTCCAGAATGGACAGATTATTGTCACTTTGGGTGTGAGTGAACAGATTGTTAAAATGATCAATAGCAGCGTTTGCAATAGCTTCATTGCCCTCAATCCATGTTCCTTGATTATCTTTAATTCTGTGGATATGTGCTCTCCTCCTTTTCTCCTTAATCACACTATGAAAATATTTGGAGTTAGAGTCACCTTCTACATCCCATTTGATTTTGGATTTTTGCTTGAGAATGGATTCTTGCATTTTTAGCCATCTAGTGTATTCTGTTTGGGCCTTGTATAGGTTCTGTCTATTAGCATCATTGTTATTAGTCTCATATTCCTGCTCCAACCTGCACATTTCCAGCTCTGTCTGTTTGATTGAAGTGAAGACATCTCCAATAGACTCTTTGGACCATTTGTAAGGCCCCTGGCTACAACTTTTAATTTCTGTTGAAGGATCCATTGGTCGTTTCCCTGGACCTCCTTGTTCCAGATGCTTTCAATTAAGGAGTTGTAGTCGCTCTGCGTAGTCCAGAAATTAAGGAACCTGAAGCATTTGATAACTTTAGGGTTCTCATTACAAAATTTAAAGGTGATGAGACTATGATTCGACCCTGATTTGGCATGGTGGTCGACTCTATTTGTTTGAAAGTTCTCTGCCCAGTCTTCATTAATAAGAACCCTATCCAGTCTTGTGCTCATTCTTTTCCTCCCCCTACTTCCATTGCACCTTGTAAAAGGATTCCCTGTAAAGCTAAGATCTGACATTCCACAGTCATCCATGCATCTAATGAAGTCTGCACTTTTGCTTAGAGTGTGAGGGGTACCACCCTTCTTCTCCGCTGGAGCAATAATAGTGTTGAAGTCACCAAGGATGGTCCATGAGCCATTGATTCTGCTGCTCATGTTCCTCAGTTTGGTCCACAGCTTTCTTCTTTTCACAGCACTGTTCCTAGCATATACTGCGGTGATCTAGTATGTTTGCTCATCTCCCTTAATCCTGAGAGTAATCTGTTGTCTGCTATTGTCGATGACATCACACTCCAGTTCATTATTCCAGAAGCACCACAGTTTGCTGCATTTATTGGAGACAGCTTGATCAAAACCAAAGTACCTTTTGTAGTCTTCTAACTTGTCAGAAGAGAGGAAAGGTTCCTGGAGAATGACCATGTGAGCCTTATGAATTCTGATTAGTTTGGCTAATCTTTCACTTGCACCCTTGGATATCATGCCCCTAATATTCCAATTGATGATGTTAATCATTAGGAAAGGTTGGGGGTTTGTAGGTTGCCTTGTGTTTGGAAGGTACTTG